GTCCACAGACGTAGACTCGTCCAGCCCTCTCTCTCCTCCAGTTTTGGGCTACTCCGATCCCCTCCAGCTGTCATCCAGCAGCCACCAGTCATCGAGCCAGCTCAGCGTGGAGTACCAGCGCTCGCCCATCCAGAACTCTCCGTGGAAAGAGTCCAGTCTGGATCCGCCTTACCGGAAACCCCCAAACCCTCGCTCTGCTGGCAGCAGCAGGTCCAGGTAAGAGTCTGAATGTTTAATAACAACCTGTCCAATACATCTAATACAACTGCACTGGGTAGAGTGTGTCAACCAAGGTTAATATATTCTTTTGTTATTTAATTGTACAAGACTCAATGGAAAAAAACTGGGGATTAATTAAATGTCAAGTTTGTTTAAAGCTTTTTAATTGGGATATTTTAGAGTTTTTTTGTTTTTTTAACCACGTAATTGTTTCATTTTAATCACATCTTTAGTACCGGATATTGTTATTATATAGTTTTAGTTTGCAACATTATTTTCTACTGCTTATTTTCACTTAGTTTACTATAATAACCCTGGTGTCAACAAGACTAAAATATATAAACTTAATAACAAATAAAATAAACAAGAATCTTACTGTCTGTCTTCATATCCCACATCATGCTTTCCCCCCCTTGTTCACAGTAGTCCAGCAGGAACCCAGATACCTGCAGAGAGCATAATTCCTCTGTCTCAGTTCATAAGGAACGCGGCCATGCGTCAGAACCACTCCTGCAGCGCCCCTTCCACCCCCGAGCTGCACGTACGCCGACAGTACACCCAGTCCTTCAGGTACAGACAACTCAGATTCATTAGCACACTTATGCACAAAGAGCATTACTCTCAACTAATAAACATTTGAATACACTCAATCATAGATCCCATTTTTCAGGAGTGTTATTGTTTTCAACGTTGTTGTATCAACATTGAAAACACTCCAGGGGGGTATACTACGAAGCAGGATTTTCGCTTAGCCGGCTAAATTCAGGGAAAACTCCGGCTTTCCGGTCCTACGAAGCTGGTTCTCTTTTTAGCAGGCTAGATCTCCATGGTAACTTATGCTTAGCGGCTAACCTGGTCGGGACCAGGTTAGGTTGCAGGCTAAGAGCTCAACTCAGTGAAAGCACTGCCTGCTGACCAATCAGAGCTCAGTGTGCGGAGTTTAAAGCGATCAAGTCATATTACAGGAGAAAGGAAATACAGAAAAGCTGCCGTCGCAGGAAAGACGGCCGGCAAAAATCACCGACTGTGTGAACGTGAACATTAATAGAATATCACCTCCATCTTCAGAGCAATCTGACTATTATAACATTAGCGTTAAGAAAGCTTACTTAAATATCTGCCACAACATAAGTAACCGGATCAGAGTAACATTAAGTACAGTCCGCGGCATATCACTTCATAATGTATCATATGTTCTTATCTGAGTCAGCTGAGCCGTATCTGGCCGTGCAACACTCACAGTGTCACATACTGTATGCAGAAGAATTATTTTAAGCAACACATTAAGTTGACGAAACACTCGAGTCAAATGTAATTAAAGTCAGATCGTGTTTTAGACGGGGCAGTGATATCATAAACCTGTTAATGTACGCATTCAAACACTTTTTCTTTTACCAGCTGTATTCACCTTGCAGGTGCAGCTATGTGGCTTTTATCCTGGATAAAGTGTTTAAGTCATGGATGTTTAAAGTTTAACTTCTTCATTTTTGACTAGTATTAAAGTTCACTTTTAATTCAGGAAGTATGACGCTGCGCTGTCAGTGCGCTTCTCCATGTTTGTGATTGGTCGAATGCTCCAGATACCACCCCTTTCATGTGAACGCGCACCTAACTAGATAGGACACGGCTGGCTTGAGCGATCCACTTGATAACCAGCGTCGTAGTACAGTTTAGCGAGAGCGCGTATGTTTTGGATTAGGCCAACCGGCTAACTCAAACATATCCTGGTTAGGTTGAACCAGCTTCGTAGTATAGGCCCCAGTAGGACTCAGATGAGGATGTTGCACTTTTCCTTGTACATGTGATGTTTTGGTGTTGTTGTTTTTTTGTTTTGTTTCTTTCCGTTAACTGTCAAGTGGGAACTAAGTATTTTTTGTAGTAAGTTTTTGTGTTTCTCTTATTTTCCTACAATACTGTTATGATTGGCTGTGAATAAGAAAATATGAAGGACAGACCATCTATTTCTATTTATTAAAATGTCTTTGAGAAAGGGGCAGGTAATATACGATTATCTTTCTTCTCCCTGCTCCTTTTCGGTTATGGCGTGTTTATAGAGACATGTTTTATATATAATTGTTATACATTAAGTTGTGCATACCATGAACGGAACAAATAAAATATCCTATTTTTCTATCTATTTAATATCATTTCTGTTTTATAACGGAGGCAACTTTTAAGTAACCCAATTTGGCTGGAGATAAACTAAATATCTTTTGAATCTGGAAACAACGTGTGCTATCATTTTACAATTTCTCATGATGTGTCTCCACAGACTTCCCAAAAAGAAGCTGCCTGCTGACCTGGAGCGTCTGGGCTCAGAGAACAATCGGGGACGAACCAGGCTGCCTCAGCGAAGATGCTTTGCTGACTTCATGGTGCGTACTCCGGAGTATTCGCCCTTACGTCCTTACCAGTCCAGCTCGGAGGACAGCAGCTCGGAGCACTCCTCCTCCTCCTACATCAGCTCCCCCGGCAGGGAGAAACCCACCGAGATGCCCAAGCTCTGCCCGCCGCCTTACGGGTTCCACTTCGGAGCGCAGAAGAAAGCGATCCCCAACTTCTCCAGCTCACCCAAGAACATCAACCAGTGTCAGCCCAGCCCCGCCTACACCAGGGCCGAGGCTGTCCCCCTCTCCCCTCAGGACCCAGACATTGGACAGAGCTTCCTGTCCCCCCTTCCTCATCCTGCGGCACTCAGCCCTCAGCAGATACACTGGCAGGAGGCAGCATTGTCCCAGAGCAGAATCCTAAAGCCCCCTCCGCCGTACACCAGGCTGGTGCGCACGCCCTCGCTGAATGAGTACCCTAACCACGCCGTCCGGCTGCTGCCCAGGGACATCGTGTCGGAGGAGTTGAAGTCGTGGCATCAGAGGAATCAGCTGCAGAGGAATCAGCAGAGCCCCCTGAGCGTCAGGAGCCCCACCTCGCTTCATCTGCCTCCATTCAGACAGGTTGGTACTGATTATCATTTCAAAATGATAAATGCCCCTAAGAAACATGTTTGATGGAGTTATCACGGCTGCCGCTAGTCTGTTGATTATTTAATAAATTCATATTAATATATCAATCAATGTCCATCTATCTTCTGGAATCAAAGGGTGAACATTTAAAAGTTGTGTTTTTTACTCAAAACTCTATTTTAATAACTAAAGAAATCCCTAGGGTCTTTCGCGATGTGTTTATTGCTGACGTTGACATTGGGATGACGATTTAAACATTATGCGACACTAATGACATGGAGAAGCAGTAATAGGTATTTCTGTTTGAAATCACATATTAGTTGATTTTTAAAATAATATTGACAATTAAAATAGCTGAAAATGGTTCTTCTGATGAACTCACTTGATGCTAATATGTATATGTACTGAAATCTTGAGCTGAACACTGATTTCATGACTGTTTTCCGCAGGGTTTGGGTCACGTGATTCTGCAGAGGGCCGCAGACGGGACCCCCCTCCAGTGGTTTATTGCGGAGGACGCTGAGATTGTGAGCCAGGTGTAGCGGAGACCTCTCGCTCTGCATATCCCTCTCTATTTATCGCTGTATTTATTTGAACTCTCTGTGAGATTGTATGTTGACATGATGGAAAACACGCGGACCTATCGGTACCCAGATGAGTGCATTTCTCTTTTTCACAGTTGTTTTTTTATTTAAAACTTAATGTATGGTGTATTTCAGTTTTATTTATATTAAAACATTTCCTAATAGATATTTCTAAAAGCATTCAGAAGTGAATTAAGGTTCATGCAAACAGATCTAAAAAGCATTTGCTGTGGTTTCAAGAATTTCTTTGTGTCTGGCACACATTTTGCACATGCAATTCATTCACACTAGTTTTCAAATACATTTCCAAATCTTAATATAATATTTTATTCTTTATTTATCTGTTACTAAGAGTTTCCCCGATTCAACAAGTAGATTTATTAACAAAATGCTGATATGAATTTGAACATGCATCTCTCTTTTTTTAAAGTTAAATATAGTTCAAGTTTAACATCTAACCATGACGTGAGAACTCAACGTTTGCTATTAACTTTTGAGTATTAATCACTGATGCCTTAAACAGTGGTTTGATGAATGTTTTCACTGCAGTTTGGTGTTTTCTTACTAACCGAGTGATTATATCAGTTTTGATATGTTTTGTATATTTATAATAAACAGCTGAAAGTTACATGTGTGGCTTTGTGACCTAGAAGGTGAATTATCAGAGTATTTCAAGGGGAAAATCCACTTTTTCATGTCTTTTATACATAAACATGTGTCCTCTCTGCGTAAAGAGATTCTGAAAGTTTCAGAAAAAAAGATTCTCTCTCTTTTCGTCCTGATCCATTTATATAAAAACCTGTCTGAAAATGAGCTGATCAGACTTTAGCCACGTTATGATGTCATAACGATTTGTTTGGCTTGTGTAACCTTTAGCCAGTAACCAACCAAGGTACCCCCCCCCCACCTTATCACCTGAATCTTCTCCTAGAGCACCTTTGTGTTCTTTTTAACCAAATATCTCTCAGAGGGGCCGTGGAGAGTGGCTCCTTATTTTCATCTGAAGTAACAGACAGAGAATCAGCACTTTTGAAACAGAGGGGATTATGGGATGCTACAATGATCTGTTTGGTATTTCTAGGCCAAACATTTCAGAGACATGTTTTGTATATATCTGAGACCTATAATATATTGATAGAAAACAGTATAATAGGGGACCTTTAAAACCAAAAATATATTTTATACCTTTATACAAAGACTGATACTGATAGGTGTTTCAGCTCTACACACTCTACCCACAGTTACACAGCGTCCTCATTATGATATTCATGGCTGTGGTGCTTCATCAAGATTCTTCCACAATATGTAAGTGAGTGTAACGACACTGAGGAGCACGAACAGGTACATGCAGCAGAGCGCCCAGCGGCAGCGGTACAGCCAGAGAGCCAGAGGATGTTTCTTCCACACAGACGAACACCTGGAGAGAACAGGCCGTCAGTGTCCGTCTAGAGAATTCCCTCACAGTGGCTTTTAAAACACATGTTGACTTACGTGCTGATGGAAAGCTGTCGGCAAACATTAGTCTTCTTTTTATCCTTGTCGGCCTTTTTCTTCGATAACGCAGCTTTGCCCTTGTGTCGCTGTCGTAAGGTGCCCAGAGGGGAACTGTAACAAAGACAGTGACATAACGTTGTTTCAGTTCACTGTGGATGAAATGTTTCAGAGTACAAACACAACAGAAGAAATATACTCTTTTATTTATTTTGTTTTTAAGTTGTAGTTACTATTTGTGTTAAATATAAGTCTCTTAGTCACAGTTCCCTTCATTCCCAGGCCAACAGAGCATTAAGAGTCAAATCCATAATAAAATGTATTTTAAAAACAATACAGGTGAGTTCACATTGATGATACTAAATGTGATTTAGTGCTATATGGAATATTAAATATATATTTTAATTAATTAATTACAAAATGGTTTTCTTTAAGATAGAGCCTCAAAGTTGAGTTAAAAGGAATAGCATCCTTAGTGACATTGTCGCCTATAGTTCTTTGCTTTAGTGGTGCATTACCAGGAGAATATGTCATTTATCAAATTAAATGCAACAAGTAACTGTTGCAGTTTTGTCATAACTGTCTGATCTATTCCTACAACTATAATTCTTGATGGTTTGTTTGTGAACTGTCATGATGTTTGAGATTTAGAGACGTTAGATTAAAATGATGTTGCAAGTTTGTGACTGAAGCACCAACAAGTCAAACAGCAAATGTCTGTTCTCTCGGTGAGTTGTTTAATTTGGCAACAAATGAAATAATTAGCTTTCATAAAATCAAGTATTTAATAAAATATTAGAACTTGTAATATTACTCTTGCAAAAGTGCAGGTTTTCTAATAGCCTTAAAATGGCTGTAACTTAAGTTTGATTCACATACACTCCTAAAAGAAGAGCAATCTTTTTAGAAAGGAGTCATCAAGCGTTGTGATGTTTACTGCAAGCTCTTCAGTGTGGTGTGACTTTATACTTTTTGTTGTTTGTCTTTCTGGGGGCCAGTTGTTTTGATGGGAGGAGCTCTGGGCTGGGGTTAGGAGGTGGAGGGAGCTCAGCAGCTGGAGCCTCTGAAGCAGTTTCATCTGGATCCAGGGGCCTGAACAGAAAACAGATGATGGGAAAATCAGACGCTGCCCACATGCTGATCATGTGTCCCAGATTAAAACATTGATGCTGAGTCTCTACTGTCGGTGACCTGTCATCCACGGAGTATGCGTCACCGCTGGGGATGGGGGGGCAGCCGGACTCGAGGCTCAGGCGGGGAAGTGAGCTGAGGAGGAAGGAGTCCCTGCTGAAGGACCTGGTGGCTCGTTCCCTCACGTCTCGTTTTATCTTATCCTGTACAGACAAGAGGGTTACACTCTCAGGGGCGGTTCTGGGGGGGGCAACAGGGGCCAGTGCCCCCGTAACACTGATCAGGGACCTCCCTGTGGCCCCCCTCCAAGAAAGAGGTTATAATATTACGATTTATTGGAACTAAATCAAATCAGAGACCCGGATGTAAAGCGGAGATTAAACTGTTCATGACTTTATAAAAGCAAATACTGTTTATGTTTTTTTATTAAATTGTCACTTAAAGTTACTAAAACAAATAACTATAAATAAAATAATCTACTGAAACAAAGGACTATAACTTACATTTACAAAAACAAATACCTTTATAAAAAGAAATACCAATTATTGTATTTTATGTTTATTTTACACAATTACTTTACACTGTCTTTGTCTTTTTACCCCCCCCCCCCCAGTCAAATTGATCTAGAACCACCACTGGACACCCTTCTGGCTCACTGGATGATACCATTTATAAACAGTTCACTAAAGGAACCTTCTTACCATGGATTGGCTGTGAATTAGTGTTATGCTGACTCTGCGACGATTAATGTTCTGAAATCCCACAAACAAAAGACAGATTAAAGTGTTGAAAAGGTAAAGGTTTCTGAAAAAAATCGTTTTATAACCAAACAGCTGCATACCGGTTGAGAGATGTTGCCTATGCCGTCACTTTCCTCCAGATCTAAAACAAAAAAGTCAGTCAAATATATATGATGTCAGAATGAGATGAACACCCGTATACAGAATATGGGGGACCTGGCGATGCTCTGGGGTCCTTGAGGTTCCTGCAGGGGGTCTGCGGCTGGACGGAGCTCCTGGTCTCCTCCAGCTCCAACACTGTTCTGTCATGGCGTCTCCTGACATTCTCCACATGAGCCACCATGAGCTCCACTGCTCGGCTCACTCGGGCCTCCTACCAGAGACGCAAAGAATATACAGCTCTGAAAAAAATCAAGAGACCACTGCAGCATTATCTGTTTCTCTGGTTTGACTATTTTTAGGTATGTGTTTGAGTCAAATGATTTTTACTGAACTGACAACATTTGTCTGTTTGGAATTCAACAGACACTGGAATGGAATGGCTGCCATACATGCAGAGATTAAGATTTAGGAAAAATGTGTAGTGGTCTTTAAATTTTTTCCATAGCTGTATATCATAGGCAAACAAAGATATCATTGTGTTCCTATGTGAGAATTATTATTTTATTTTTTCATTGTGGAGATGTGTTTTTTGGATTTCAAGTTTGCGGTATTTCTTTGTTGTTGTACGAATTGTGCTTCTTTAACTCTTTTAACATATTGGGATGTATTGTATCCTTCGGATGTTATGTTATTGTATCTAATAACAGGGAATGATATAAACACTGTTGGCAACCTAATTTTCCCGAAAGATTTTCTTTATATAAAGATACATTATTTCTTAAATCAGGGATTAAAGTCTAATTTATCAAAGGTTTTAGAAATACCATAAAAATGGCCGGTGGAATTGCTCATTAACCTGCCACAGTGAGGAAACAAATGTATTGAAGTTGCTGTCATATGAAATTGATCTATTAAAACAGTTATTCTGAGACCCTTCCCCGCCCCACAGGTTGGAGACCACAGTCTAGTGGGGCCACCTGAGTGTACCTGGTGCACCGCTCCGAGCACCTCTGCTGTGTTGGAGATGCGCTCCACTGTCCCACCGAGGATATCCAGAGACAGCTCCAGCCTCTGCAGGATCTTACTGCGCTTACTGTCCAGACACAGGCCCTTCAGCGTCTGAAAACACAGACACACACGTCTGCTCTCTGGTGGGCTCAGACTTAAAGGTCCCCTATTATACTGTTTTTCATCAATATATTATAGGTCTCAGATATATACAAAACATGTCTCTGAAGTATTTGGCTCGAAATACCAAACAGATCACCCATTGTAGCATCCCATAAACCCCTCTGCTTCAGCCCTGTTTCAAAAGTGCTGATTCTCTGGCTGCATCTCACTTCGGTTAAATGGAATCCTTGCGTCCCTCACTTGCGTCGTTTCCCTGCGACTAGTCCCTCCCACCATGGAAGCATGGAGAGACGCAAGGAAACCACGAGAAGCAGGGAAATGAGTTTTAAGAGCAATGGGACGTCCTTTCCTCCGGAGCGTCACGTGAAGCGACGTCCGTTTGTGATGACTCAGCACAGCTGATCGTCTGACAGCAGCTCTGTCCCCGTTATTTCCACACACACCCCCGCCTCTGTTAGTACACATTTACTGACACAAAAATGTGGATCATCTGTTGTAGACCCAAATGAAATCAAATAAGAACTCATTCTCAAAAAAGATAAACGCCATTCTTAAAATGTATAAACGAAAAAAGCGATCATGAAAATGTTTCCAATAAATGAATAAAATGATTTTTGACCACTTTGTTGTTCAGATATCACATATTTGTAACTAAATGATTGAAACAAAACACGGTATAAACTGAGTTTCATGTGTTTTCTTCACTCCGCTGGTAAACTGCTCTCATGTCAAGAAGCAACAGATCAGTGTCGTCCAATCAGTGAGCGATCGTCCAATCAGTGAGCGATACACAGTAAGGATTTTTTTATTTTTAACAATGACGGAAAAATCTGAAAGCAGTCCGTCATTTTGACGGATTAGAACAAACTCAGAACAGCGCCAAAGCTTCCCCGCAGCGAGGCTCCGGTGTTATGCATGCTCGCCAAAAAGGAAATGATATTGTTTCCAAACCTAACTTTGCCGTACAAATCATTGAAATGTCTGTACGTTTTTGCTTTACGCTGCAGGTGTAGTGGGCATGCACAACAAGGCATAACACCGGCGTTAACAGTTCACAGAGCGTGCCCCCCCCCCCCCCCCCCCCCCCCCCCCCCCCCCCGTCAGAGTTGTGTACAGACCGACGGGTAGTAATGGATTTTGACGGACATTTTACGATCCTGTCCGTCAAAATGACGGGCAGCGAAAAAGTCTAGCACCACCTCTGCTCCCCACACCCCTATATTAGGGGATATTTGGTTAAAAAGAGGAGGAGATTCAGGTGATAAGGTGGGCAGGGGTTACCTTGGTTGGTTATTGGCTAATGGTTACACAATCCAAAATATCGTTATGACATCATAAAGTGACCAAAATCTGATCAGCTCATTGACAGGTTTTTATTTAAATGAGTCAGGACAAAAAGAGAGAGAATCTTTTTTCCTGAAACATTCAGAGTCTCTTTACACAGAGGGGACACATGTTTCTGTATAAAAGACATGAAAAAGTGTATTTTGCATAATAGGTGACCGTTAAAGCTTATTTGACTCATCGCCTGTCTTCTACTGTCTCTTTTCACCTCCACAGTCTCCCGGCCCCGGGTCAGCTCCAGATGGATGTTCTCCTCAGCCAGGTTGCGGGCGTGCTCCTCCGCCTGCAGCCTCTGCTTCAGGGTGTACTGATCGCAGCTGAAGGCCATGGCGATATGAGAGAAGGCCGTCTGCACGCAAGAACATCTATTTTACTGCTCAGGTTCGGATGTTTAGGTTTTGAGCTGTAGTTTAAATGATAAATAGGTATTAATAATGCTGTTGATGTATTTAGATTTTAAGGGTGACCATTATCATCTGGCCGGGGACAACAGCTGGAAATTAGCAATGATTGCTAAAGCTGCCCAGTTGAACAATGGGGACTGTCCACGACACTATAAACAAATAAACTAAACTAAATTAAGATGTCAAGAAAAATCATGACCTACACAGACAGAAATACAGTTTAAAATTAAAACATTAAAGGAGAGGTTGACCCTTTTTCAAGTCTTTCCTCAAACAATTGTGAGTTTCTTAGTGTGATCATTATAGACCTTTAAAACCTTGTAAGGGCCCTTTAAATGTAACGTTTGAATATATTTTTACAGAGGACTGTGGGTTTATAAGAGTGAAGGAGTAGTATGTGACCTTACCTCCAAATCTTTCTCTGACATATCCACACTGTGGAAGTGGAGTTGAATGAAAAGTCAGATTAAATCAAGTTATTTATATATACTTTGTTAAATATAAATATATCAGTGTCACCTGTTGAGGCCCACGCGCTCTATGATGGACAGCTCGTTCCAGATTGTGATAGCTGGCTCCTCTTTACTGCTTTCTGTTGTAAAGACATGACCCAGTTAAAATGCAGAGCATGACACTGAGTCCTGGACCTTTGATCAACACTTACCTTCATCACTGTCATCACTGCCCAGCAGCATCATGGGCATGCTGTCACTGTTTATCTCTGCATCAGGCTGAACATAGGTGAGACACATTCCCTTTTTTTATTAGAAGATTTTATTAGTAAGAAGAATCTACAAACAATCAGAAATACCCTTTCAGTTAATAAATAATAACACATTGTTTACATCATTAATTAATATACTTAGTTGTATTTATTTTGTGAATGACTCCTTGAGACAATCATCTCTGCTTGATAAATATGACATTTGCCTAATAAAATATAAAAGTGTTAAGGATAGTCACTAATTGTACCCTTAATATTCGTAAACATTACCCAATCATTGCACAGTGTGAACAGGAGCAGGTAGGAGAGCTGGCAGATTATTTAACTCACCTGAGCGTTCATCCTCACATCCGCTGCTGTCTGCACAGATATAATACAAATGTCTTCCTCTGGTGAAAAAAAAACTATGATTCAAATCCTTCTCACGGTCAACACTGGATTTAAATTGTTGCTGGAAACGCAAATATATTCTAATAAAGTCCAGTCTGTGTTCGGGTCATTTCTCCTGTCCTGAGAATAGATAATCCTATTAAGAGATCCACAGTCAGAGCAGCCCTCTGCCCCAAGAGGCTCATGGGTAGCCGTGGATCTACCTGTGTTATTATCTAAACAAATGCAGTTCATTTTCCTAGCAATGGATAAAACACAACTCCAAAAGATCACAGGATAATCCCACCTAATAAGGAGGCACTGTTTAATGGATTATGTGTTATTGTTTTGTGATTTACCTCATGATTAAATGCCCTTATATATATATACGTCACAATCCATGTGTATAATTTTCCTTATATATTTTTGTGCTGCGTCTATGGTATTCTAGGAAGAGTAGAATATTAGACCTGCTTTCGGTTTTCCGACCAGCAGGGGTTAGGGTTTCATGTCTGATTGCTCCAAGAAACATTTTGCGTGTTGTCGAAGTATTACCATTAAGTGCATTTCGAAGCCATACTTTTACTCAAGTAAATAACCGCAGTAATTTCCCCTTTGCTTTTATAGAAATGAGCATCTGCTGTGGGGAAACTACCATTTTTTTTATACATCCAGGGTCTGTTGAACTGGCTTCGTCGTACAGGCCTCAGGACTTTATACTATATTGATCCCCAAAATAACAATACTACTAAGACTTGCTTTGTAGAGATACCATAATGCATATACCTTAACAGTTGAGGCTCTCATCAGGCCTCACTGGAATACTACTGAAACACCACATCTAATGTAATACAGTAAAGCCCCATGATTAACTGGTTTTAATTGACTAAATAAGGCTCAACTTTCAAAATATTCTTTTACCTTTTAACTATACTATACTATAAATGTGTTGCATTTTGTTGATCTTGTGTGATCCAGGTCAGTATTAGTTCAATTTAAATGAACTTTTCTGACAATAAAACCCAAGTAACCCCATTATGATTTGAATAAAAGTTGTTTGAAAAATGATTTGACTGAACTATGAACCAAGATAATTACATTTGTCTACAATGTTAAGCATTTAAAAGTGGTAGTTGAAGTATTTGTGAATATCCAAAACTCATAAATTGAATCTTCCATGTGAATAACACTTAATGCCAAGTTTTTATCCAACAAGAAAAACTATCAGAAACAGTCAACTTTGGAACATCCACATTTTTTTTATTAATAGAAAAGCCGTTCTTTAGTAGAGGCGCTGGGGTTTGCCCATGGTGCTCTTCACGTACAGGGCACGCACGTTCTGCCAGTTCTTCTTCAGCAGAGACACAAGGAAGTTGACAGCCAGGTGGATGTTGTACACAAGCTCATCCTCCGTCATCTTCACGTGACCGACAGCCACAGCCAGACAGAGAACCTACAGCAAAAAGTACATTTCATTCAGTAACCCAACCTACATTTCCTCAACATGACTTCAGTGTTTAGGAGAGAGATTCAAAGTTAACAGCGAAGTGGCATTCATTTACTCTTATTTGAGCAGAGCTTACCTTCTTCATCTGGAATTTGATGGTCGATTTGACCTCATCCACCTTGGTGTTCAGGTTCTCGTTGTGGGTGAGCAGGGAGGGGAACTTGCCGGCCTTGTTCAAACCAGGACCGAGGATACGAGGGATCTGCTTGATCAGAGACTCAGAGGCCAGGAAGGCATCGTACTTCTTAGCTACAGTGATGAAGAAGGAAAGGGTTCATTAAGTAAAGTGTGACAAAAAAGCTTCAATCCACAGATTTAATGATCACAAATCATTTGTCTAACGGGCAATCATCTTACCGAGCTTCTTGACCATCTTCTTGTTCTTGTTCAGCTTCTTGAGAGCCTCGATGTCCATGTGTGGCAGCTCGGCTACTTTGGCCTCATCGCAATGCTGCTGGTCTCCCAGGACGCACACGGAGAACTTGGGCCTGGGCAGAGTCTTCAGCCTGCAGATTAACAAAACCTTTAGACACGAGCCGAATCCCACGTAAAACACGGGGGCATCAGTTGGAGGTAAGGCAGAGTAAGGTTGAGACAACTTCTGCAGAGGCTGCTTCGTGTGTGACAGACATCATGCTATGCATTTATCAACAAACTCTGGTTCCCAAACTCATTTTGTAGATTAATCGGAACCTATTAAGCATGAAAGAAAATAACCGTTTTTAATATTTCCAAACTTAACTCAAATACTCTGCCAACCCCAAATGACACCTTCCTCATTTTACTTTGAAATAGTAAAAGTCTTACCCATACCACCTCAGTGTCCAGCTGACCTCTTTGGTTACATTAAAGTAAATTGGTCGGCATGAGTACCAGAACTTAAAAAGCTCAGCCACTCAAAGCCTCCCCTCATGTTTTAAGACCCAGGGTAGGGGTCCGTCTGCATCGCCTCCACCAGCCGAGGCTGGGTCAGCTCAGTCAGACTACCCAGAGTACTTCTCCATGTCTGATCCGGGCCTGTCTGGACTTTGTTACCAACTTCTGATATTTCAGCCACTTGCCTTAAATGCAAGGCTTTTCTTTATTTAAATACTCAGACAGGGCTGGAAGCACACAGGGAAAAGGTCGGGTGAAACAGGAAAAGGGTCGAACCTGACAGTGCCGGAGAAACGCTTGTCCTTCTGGGGATCATAGTTCTTCAAGCTGATCTGCAGCTCCACCGTCTCTGTGAACCTACAGACACACATAGTTAGACATGCCATCCCACAGAGCTGAAACTACTAGTGGAAAAAACGATGAGTTTCCCCATTCCATTATTGTTTGATTCTAGAAATGTACGAAAAATGTTATAATGCTATTGTCACACTTCATTGTAATCTTTAGGTATTTGGACTTTTAGTCAGAAAAAACATTTTGTAAATGTAGCACTGAAGTTGTGACAGTGATGTGTTTATGTTTTAACTGAATGATCCTTAACCAGTTGTCAGGTTAGTAGTTGATAAAGCTATTTGCAAAGTCATCCATAGGTTGTCATCCATGTAATTCATCTCAAAGTAGAAGTTTTAACAACTTTTCAAAGATGTACTTACTTCCTTGACTTGGTCAGTGAGCTCGACAGAACTTCCTTCACCGCTTCGTACAACGTGTCCCTGGAGACCTTACTGTGAAATAAAACATTAGAAAAATTGTTAAAGCAAATGAAACTAGCGGAACGTCTCCATGTACCCGGCTTCCTGTGTCTGTCTATGGCGGCGACATTACATTCATGAAAACAGATCCATAGCTCTGAAAGACTTCATAAAATATTATCAAGGAGAGCCAATAGATACTTCCTATGCTTAATTATTTTCAAAAAATCGTTTTAGATGAGTGGATGAAGGCGGATTGCATCTGAAACTAAGCGTGCTGTTTCTACAGCGGAAGATGAACCGGTCTCATTCCGCTTCACATCATTGTGAATAACTGAACTAAATTACACGACTTCCGCACAAGATAACAACACCGCTTTATTATAAATGTGATACCGATCCGTTAAAATGGGAATAACGTTTAAATTGTAACATTTATCCATAAAATTGGCTCTAACCTCATTTTTGCGACTCGTCCCTGTCGTCTCGCTGAGATGAAAAGGAAGTGTAGCGGGAAGTGACGCAAAATAAAGGCGCCCGTGTGCCGACGTCATCACAAAAAAAATCCTGTCGAGCATTATTTTAGTGCAAAAACAGTCAATAAATACTACAATTATCCATCTAAAATAAACAACGACTTCGCATTAGAAACATGTAATAGTCATTTATTTACTCTTTGTAATTCTTTTTTAAACCTATTTCTTTCTGAATTTAATTTGAATTAGAATTTCATGACAATGTTATAAAGTTTCAGGTCAAGTTAATTTAAATATAGCACATATTATACAGGATTAGTCTCAATGTGCTTTAAAAAGTGGATTCGAATCTGTTCCATCTTATTTTGAAATTAAAAAGCTATTGAATTTCCAGCATCGAAACAAATTGTGTATTGAAATTATGCATCAGAATTGTTTGCCTCTGATTTTTTTTGTTTTAATAATAACAAAAAAAATCGTTTTCCATAGAAATAGACATTGTATGATACGGTATTAATAATAGTAAGAAGAAGATGAAGAACAATCAGAATTCCTTTATTTGTCCCGCACCGGGCAAATGTACATTATTACACCAGCAGAAGATTAGTGGGGGGGGGGGGGGGGGGGGGGGGGGTACAGGGACACATATTGCTCCTGTGGGTATTGTCCCCAATGCTGCATGCATGTACTTTGGATAAAAGAGTCTCATAAGTAACGTGTAATGTAATTATTGCAAAGTAAAGACTTACATAAAAAAATGTATTAAATAAAACTAAGAATGCAGCGTTATTAATGATAAAAAACACAATTAGTAAATAAAACAAATAGATTGGATTTACACCATATTTAAAAAAAGTAGCAGTATATTTTTTAAACTACCAGTGGTCGTGGTGGTCTTACTGTAAGACGAAGAAGAAAAAGCTAATAAAATTCATTCTAAAATGACGATTAATAAAATATATGGAAAATGTTCTTTGTTTTTTTTTAGACTTTGTTGATATCTTTCTCGTTTCAAACCGGTGGAATGAGTTGCTTCATTTTCAGGTCACAACCTGTCATGGTTAAAATACTGACAGAAAAGTAGACAAGCTCTTATTCATATATTTTTATTAACAGGCCAGATTAGGTCAGATGAAACCTCATGAGTTGGTGATTCTTTTCAAAGCAGCTTGGAGAGACTTTTTCAGGAAGGTCTCATTTACCATCAGGCAGCTGTGCAGGGACTGTTTGTGCTCAGCTGTCATCTGGAAAACAAATTGATACAGTTGCTAAAAGATTACATTTCATCCACCGTTCAGTCTTTTTGCATGATACAAATGTACATAATACCTAACAGTGCTCAGTTAGTGTGTGTGTGTGTGT